CATCGGTAAATAAAAATCTATTTCTGCTGCCGCCGCCGCGCACGTGTGCCAGCGGATGTCCGTCGTCGTGCTACCGGTGGTGGTGGTGGTGGTATGCGCGCGCGCATGCTCGTACCGCACACGGGTACACGCGTCGGACACGGCCAGTCGCGCGTGGGTGTCGGTGCGCGCGTGTTCTCGGCCGGTTCCTGCCGGTGTTGTTGTTGTTGTTGTTGTTGTTATCGCACTGTTGTTTGACCCGCGGTCGCGTTTTTCCAGGGCCGTCGCAGCCGCGCAGACATGGCCGAACAAGAGATGCAGCACCAGGACCCGTGGAACGGGCCCGCAAAGGACGGCCTGTACGACCCGCAGCTCGAGAGAGAAGCGTGCGGCGTGGGCTTCATCGTGGCCATCGACGGCAAGCGCTCGCACAAGGTAAAGTTGATGCGCGCGCAGGTATTCTCGAACGCGTAGCACCGGTAAGGGACGCGTGGGCGCGGGTCACGGGGACCGACGATCTACGGGGGCAACCCTTGGCGGCACGTCTCGCCCGCGCGCCGTACGGGTAGAGTGACCGACAAACCCTCCGGCCACGCCCACCGTGCGGTATCTTCGACGGTAACCTTCCCCGACGCCGGTGGCCGATGTGCGTTTTCGCACGTTTCGGTAATTGCCCGCGTCACCCATCGATTTTCCTCTAGGCACCATCGCCGTTCCTGTCGCGTTGCCCGACGGTCGACAGAGATCTCGTGGATTTATGATTATTCTCGATCGCGTTCCGTGTCGCTATGGCCAATGGTTAACCAATGTAACAACGTCTATATGTTGCTATCACACAACTAACTCATAACTGCCCACCCACTATCCTGCGGGACGAAACACGTTCGCATCATCCGCCACATCCGTTTCTTGCAATGGTCCGCTCACGAAACCCGTTCACGTTATCTGCCACATCCGTTTCTTGCGATGGTCCGCTCACGAATCTCGCCTAACACTTTCCTACAACAATGCCCTGCGAAAAGGTCCTGCCGGTGTAATAGTTAATAAATAGCACACAAATCTCCTATAGCCCGCTTAGGGACAGTCCCCTCCCCGTGGGGTGGTGGAAAGTACGTACGTTCGGTAGGGCCTAAACAAGAGTGGTTGGATATAGCCGTATTGATCGCGCGTTTCTTGTTCGACGCGCCTGTAATAGTACGTATAGCGTCGCATAAGATTTCAACTGTACCGCAGGACAATGCTACGTGATACTTATTACTTCGCGCAGTTCTTCCGTACGATCAGACTTCTCAAACCTCGTCCTAATGTAGGCCGTAACATTTCAACTGAAAGTAAAACAATTACTCGTAAGTAACAGATACATATTAATTGGATGATTCGGACGCATTTCATTTCAAACAAAACCGTTTTATATGTATAGCCCAGTAGCGGCTCGTAGTAAATACTCTGAAGGGACTTAAATCATTTTACATTAAACTTCAACGAACAAGAAAAACCATTTTACTGGAAAATTAATTATACTTAATACCTAATTTAGTATTTAGTTAATATTTTTAACTTAATTTAATACTAAATTTTTTTATAAACTTATTCAATTCTACGATCTTTTTTATCTGCAAACTTGCATATAAACGTAGATAACGGCGCACAGTGACTATAGTCATTATAATGACGGCACGGTGACACGGAAATTATTGTCGTAAACCCAGTTTCAATAGTGTCTATAATACGCGGCTTACTCTCCCCATCCCTCTCCGTCCAACGAGCCGAAGAATTACATGTTACGGTTGAACCTGTCTGGCATCAGTTTGACTGAAACGATGACCGTTGCCGAAATTATTAAAATAGTATTTCCATTGAAATAACTATAGATTTTAGATTTTGTGGCTATCAATTTATAATAACAAAGATAACGATATAACATTTTTTCAGTTAAAATAAAAATATTTTAATACATTTTTATTTTTAAATAGTTATTACTTACAAGTAGCTGTTTTTTTTTAAGGAGAGTCTCAAACTCTCCCACTTTTCGTATTTGTTGAAAAATAAATTGTAATAATTATTACGTATATAAAACCGTGATCTGTTATTAGTACATCGTTAAATTAAATTGTTATGAATGATAATAGATTCATATTCATAAAATAGGGATCAAAAGCTCATCGATACGTTTTGACCTTTATCTGATTGGTCTGTGTATTGTACCCGTCTATAATAACAGTTATCGAATGCTCAAAAAAAAAAAAAAATTCTAATGATAAGCTATAATTTAATCCAACGATTGCGTGGAATTTCCAAGGGAATTACATTAATAAAATAATTAAAATCTTGTATAAGCGAACACGTTTGTGTGTGTATACTACACTCGTACTACACTAACACTACTACATTCGGACGAGAAAAACCTCATGTAATTTTAATACAGGACGAACGTTAAAATTATAATTTTATGTAGATAAATTTTAACACGTCGCATAATAAAACGCAGTTGCTCTTTATAATACAACTCTATGTAATATGCATTTAATTATAGTATGCAATCTGCAGGTACCAGTCGTCCATGTAATAGACTTTAAATTTATAATCGAGTATCGATATTTTTACGGAGACCGAAACTGCGGGTTTTAATTACCTACATTGTTTTGCAAAATTTTTATGAAATCAACGAACGGATTGGGTTAAGTTTGAATGTTAAATTATGGTATTCGAGTTAATTTTGTTAGCAGAGAATTTTAACAATTTTTTTTTTTTTTCATGACTTTTCGGTCATAATACAGACTGTAGCAACAGACTGTGGCAATACGCTGTCACTGAATCATCGGTGTACTCTTAATTTAGGTAATGGTTTAACAATATTAATTTGAAAATCTTTTCGTAGTTCAATATTGCCCCGTCTGCAACTTTAGTGTAAATAAACTTTGTATTTTTATTATAATCATTCATATTATATTTTTAAAAGAGTACATAAATCATTTGATTTTTTTTTTACTTTCTTGAAAAAACACGTCGTAAAATGCGTTTGTAAGAAAGTTCTCGCGTCGTTTATAAAATTTTGTAACAGCCATTATTCAATGGTGTAGCCAGAAAAATATTATGGAAGATAGGGGTTTAAATTTTCAATTATCTCTTACATAAGTATCAACTTTTAGTTATAATAAGCCGATTAACCATAAGTTAAAATATAAAATGTGTCAATATTTAGTGTATTAAAACTGTGAAAATTGTTTAATTATGACTTAACATTATACCTATACCTTAAAATAATTGTATATTTTATAAAATAAGAGAGACATTTCGAGGGTAGGGTGGTATAACTCCCCCCTCTGTCACCGCCACTGCTCTTATTAATAAATACCAATAAATATAATGTAAAGGTGGACACATTATTGAGAACCTATTAACTTATGGCAGTTTCGTATCGATAAATAATCGAATGAACAAGGTTAGAAATCTGTGATTTACATAGATGTTGAACCAAAAGCATGCGCTCTGAAGGTACCCACACTCCCGAGAACAAGGGTGCATGTTTAATGTCGTAAATATTTAGACACCGATGCCACTGTAAGTTAGCGGTTTCTTTCTTTATTTTACTACATTGCAAACTAACAAGGCGTACTTCTTTTGCGTGTTATATTTTATTGGCAACTCATTTTTGACCAAATAATTTATAATTAATCACGTTTTGTATACTACGTATCTACTGTTTATAAATTAACAAAATACTTTTTTTTCTTTTTTTTTTTTTAAAAATAGTTTTTTCTTGGTAGTTTAATTATATTATTTAAATATTATGGTATTATTAAGACTGTCACAACATAAAATTTTATTAAACACTATATAACCTTACAGTAAAAAAAACTGTCAAAACTGGAGGTTAACCTGTTTGCGGGCTCATTATTATTCACCAAGAATATTCGTTAATAATAATTTTTTTTTTTTAAAGTAATCGATTTTACATTTTATCATCAGTATAATATTTAAAACATCAGAAAAACTAATATTGTATTTTTAATGTATAATGTTTGATTTATAATGTAGAATTAACATATATGTCCTTCTGTAACATTAACAAATCATATTTTCTAAGTAACATCGTCTGTCCGTAGTTCAAACTCTTTGGGTACTTTATTGATATTTCAACACTCGGACGATTTCACTTGCATATTTCTATTAAGAATTCATTAAATGTGATTATATCTTTGGCGTACATTCCTTGACAAAGTAAACATGCATAATTTTCAACAACAATTTCGTTAATTAACAAATTAACAAATATGTGTATAAAACCAATTTTGCACAAACTATACCGTATATAATTTGATTGTTTCATCAACACGTTCAGTGCTTGTCCATTGTATTTTTACTTATTATAATACATATATTATAACAATATGCAGAGCGATTTTTAGGGTTTGTGAGGCCCTAGAGCATTATATATATCTGGGGATGGGGACCTTTAAATACATAAATTGTGGTACATGTATTTTTTTTGAACACATAAATTATTATTGTAAGCTATTAATAAACTTAATTGTATAAAAAAAAATGTAAAATTATGATATTTGTTAAACTTAATGTAGTTTTTGTAAATTTGAATCCCTTGAAATCCCGTAGTCCCTGATCCGGACTCTTAGTGTCTATGACTTGATACGGCACAGACAATACAAATATACGAAATTTATGTAAGTATAAAGTGACATAAATGAATTGTATGTATATACCTATTTTATGACCGTAAAACTAAATCATTTTGCAAATTTGCAAAAATTGTTAATTTGCATATATTATAGGTGTACTTATTATTCTGACCTAATAATGAAACTGTTAAAATTTTCCGTTTTTTCATATGGATTACAATTAAAACTTTTTAAACTGTACGTATGAGTTTTATTAAAATTAAAACGTGCATTGTTTCATTCAATGTAAAAACGATTTAATCAATTTGAATATTAATATCGATTGCTCGAAACTCAAATTTATCAAACACTTATAGACGTATATTCATGAATGTTATCTCATTATCTTTTAAAACCTTCCTATAGCTACTGTTTTGATAATCCTTATCAAGATCGAGAACAAAACCATGAATGTGCGTAAAGTCGAAACGAAATTCCTCTGGTTGAAAAATCAAAAGTATCGCTATGCTCTTTATAGTTTTTCCATTGATATACGTGGTTTTTTTCGGGCTCAAAGTCCAATTCATTCATGTCTTATTATAAATATATACAAAAGTTGGCGGTTCTTGTCGCGAATAAAATAATAATGCATAAAACATCACCGTCAAGACGGCTGAGACATAAAATCGTCATAATATTCTAATTCGGTATTTTTGGCACATTCCAAAGCTAGACGGGTGACGCCGTATTATGTAATGGACTGTGAACCTGCTGTGTGGTTTACCCCCTCCCCTATCCCACATCGTTCTATATTATAAC